ACCCCAGAAACTCCCAAACTTCTGCTCCAGCTCCAACCTCCCTTCTCCAAGGTCTGGAACAAGTTTTTGCTTCGCTCCTTCCTCACCTGCCACTCCCTTCACAAATCCCTCCAATTGGGGTTCCATGCCTCCCACAGCACAGAAACAGCATTGGTCAAAGTGACAAATGATATTCTGTCCATCTCTGTCTGCCTCCTTGACCTCTCTGCTGTCTTCGACACCGTCGATCAATCTATTCTCATCCATCACCTCTCGTCTCACATCAAACTACATGGCTATGTCCTTGACTGGTTCAGATTGTACCTCTCACACTGCCTTCACCTCATCTCCACAAACAGTTTCTCCTCTAGCCCCCGTACTATTTCATGTGGCATTCTGGCCTTGGTTCCCTCCTCTTTAATATCTATATGTTCCCTCTTGGTCACATCAGCCGCAGACATTGGATCAATTTTCACATGTATGTGGATGACAGCCAACTGTACCTCTCTGCCTCCACCCTTGACTCCAGGACCACTGCTGTCCTGACAGAATGTCTGTCAGACATCAATTGCTGGAGGAGAGCTAACTTCCTTCAGTTGACCCTCCTGATTGGCTCCTGACAGCATTTCATCACCTTAGCATCACCATCCATGGTTGCACACTCCATCTCACTAAACCACTCCAGAACCTTGGCATCTTGTTTGACCCTCAACTATCCTTTCTTACCCAACATCTGCACCATGACCAGCTCTGTATTCCCACACCTCTGCAACATCACCCAGCTCCACCACTGTCTCACAACCCTCACAAATGCTTTCATTATAATAAGGCTTGACTATGCAAACTGATTGCTTGTCGGCCTCCTCAACTCCTCCCTCCGTAGGCTGAGATCATCCAGAGCAATGCAGCCCATTTCCTCTGATGCACCAGGCTCCGTGACCCTATCACCCGCCATCCTTGTCCGACTCTACTGGCTTCTCATCACACAGAGGAAATAGTTCAAGATCTTGGTCCTCACCTTCAAAACCCTCCATGGTCTTGCTCCCCCCTTTCTCTGTGAACTCCTAACCCCTTACGATCCTGCTCGCTCCCTCCGCTCAGCGGGCTCCAGACTGCTTCGCGTCCCCCACCTCACTTGTCCCACTATTAGCAAGCAGGCCTTCTGCCACTCTTTCCCCACCCTCTGGAACCCCATCCCACAGTCGCTCTTCCTCAACCCCTCTCTTGCCTCCTTCGAGACCCATCTCAAGAACCTTCTCTTCGACCATGCTTTTAATCTTCCTGCTTCCCCACCTGCCCTCAATCCTTCCCGACCCCAAACCCCAGCCAAAACCCTGTCCAGCACTTTGGACGTCTCCTGACATGAAAGGCGCTTTACAAATGTAATGTTTTTATTTTTGTTTCACTGACACCTGGATCATTCCAGGTGACAACTCCCTCTTACTGAAGCCTCGCCAGCTGGTGATACCTTTCGCCAAACTCTGTGACCCATGGTGGTGGTGGTGTGGCCCTCATCTCTGTCATTACTGGGTCTATCCCTTACTCCTGTGGATCCTTCTCCTTGAAGAGGAGAATCTTGAGACAGGTTTTGAAGGAAGCAAGGGAGGGACCGAGATGGAGGGACTGAGGGCTGGAGTTCCAGAACAACAACAACAACAACAACAAGGTTGAGGCAGAGATGCTGAAGGCCCGACCGCTAATGGTGGAGCGCACAAGGCTGGGGACGTGAGGCAGGCCTGAGCCCCCTGAATAGAGGGAGCAGATAGGTTGGTATGGTGTTAGGATTTCACCGAGGTAGGGAGCAGGAAGGCCATGGAGGGCTTTGAAGGTGAGGAACAGAATCTTGAACTGTATCACTGATATAACTCAAGATTTACATCAATCGTCTGGCTTCAATGAAACACAATACAAACTTAAAACAGGTACAACAGATTTATATCAAAATTGCATGTTTCATGACAGTCGGATGTCCCAAGGTGCTAGAGAGTCAAGTGTTTCCATTTAATCTGGGGTTGGAAAGATGACCAAAAGTGAAAGCCTGTGAAAAATGCTTCACAAATTGGAGTTTCAATTTTGACTTGACTCTGACGGGAACAAGACCAATCGTCGCTCCTTCAGAAGGTAGCTTCAATAACAATAAAAGAGGCTTTCAATGCACAAAGTGGTTTCCCATAATCTGCTAGTAGTGCGAGCAAGGTAACTGAATTCCACCCATTAAGTTAAGCAGCAACTAGTTGTAAATAGAGAGAAACTATTTCCTGTGGTAATGAAATCCAGCACAAGAGGGCATAATCATAAAATAAGAGCTAGGTCTTTTCGAGTGAAGTTAAGAGGCAGTTTTTCACCCAAATGGTAGTGGAAATTTGGAACCCCCAACACAACAACAATAAAATGGCATATTTAAAGCACGTTTCACGTTGGGAGGATATCCCAAAGTGCTGAGCAGTTGGGTTAAAGGCAGTAGATGCTGCATCCATTCACAACTTGAAAGCTGAGGTGACTAGATATTTGTTAGGTCAAGGTATTAAGGAGCACAGGGCAAGGGCCGCCAATTGGACTTGATGTACTGATCAGCCATGATCCTATAGAATGGCAAAACAGGCTCAAGGAGCTGGATGGCCTACTCCTGTTTCTATATTTCTATGTTTCTAAATGACTGCAAATGTCATTATACTATCAGAGGGTATCCGTGAAGCACTGGATGAAGTTAACAGGGACCCAGCAATCAGTGAACTTATTGTCAGATTTCCATTTGTATCCGACCAATGTCAAGCAGAACACAATGCGTATCAATAGGTATTGATGGAGGATTAATTGGGGGTTAAAGAGGTTTCCAGTGGCCCCAGAGTTCCTGGCCTCTTCCATCATCCAACACACAGGATCCTGGCTGGTATTAAACTCCTGTACCACTCCTCCATATAAACTGCTCACCTTCTGTAGCTCAGCCCAGCTCAGGCTGCACTGTTTAGACCCCCACTCTAAACAGACAATTCTCCTCCTGCCTATGTAACTGGGGCCACTTGCTTCCCCTGTGCTGTCTCAGAGTAGAAGGACCTCCCTATGCTGCCACACACTGTCTCCTGTGAGCTTCGACAAAGCCTTATTTGTCCAAGGACCAGGCTCTGTAATACCATCACCCCACCCTCCAATGGCTCCACTGACTCCTCATCCCCCAGAGGATAGAGTCCAAAATCACCATCCACGCCTTCAAGACCTTCCATGGCCATGTCCCTCTTTACCTCTATAAACTGCTGACCCAATATCAATCTGTCCACTACCTCCACTCAGCAGGCTATCTACTGCTCCACATTGCCCTCCACCCTGCTCCACTATTGGCGGTCAGGCTTACAGCCTTTCTACCACCACCCTTTCGAACTCCATCACACAGTCCCTTTGCCTCGCTCCCTTCCTTGCTCCTTCAAGGCACGTCTCAAAACGCTCTTTTTTGAACAAGCCAATGGCCACCCTCCTACCCTCCCTGCCTTAGACCCTCCACCAGCTCGGGTCCAAATTCCTGACTATCCAGTATGCGAAAGGCGCTGTACAGATGAAACTTTGTATTGTATTGTATTACTTGGGCAGGTTCCCATCCCTTCTGCAGTCAAACTCCACCCTAGCTTTCACACTCCCAGAATCTCAAAGACTTAACTATCCACTGAGTCCACAAGGAACTGAGAATTGCCAAAGAAGGCATTAATAGGAGAGGTCCACTTAAAACTTCTGCAGTCCATTCTCCTGCCCACTGCCTGTCTGCCTACGTTCAGCTTCTTGTCTGTTGTGAAGTGTGCCAGTGTTTGGGCAACGTGCAACGTGTGGTTACCATGTAAATATGCAGCATTTGGCTTGTCACAGCAATATAGGGAAAAACTGTGGGTCAGTAACCGGAGGACATAGATTTAAGACAATTGGCAAACGAACTAGAGGGGAGATGGGAAGAATTTATTGTACCCAGAGAGTTGTTATCATCTGGAATGCCCTGCCTGAAAGGTTGGTGGAAGCAGATTCAATTGCGGCTTTCAAAAGGGAATTGGAGAGGTGTTTGAAAAGGAAACAAACTGCAGGTCAATGAGAGTTACTAGTTGGACAGCTTTTTCATAGAGCTGATACAAGCAGAATGGGCCGAATGGCATCCTTCTGTGCAGGAAGATTCTATGATTGATGAAGGTGGCCAGCAATCTACCAAGAAGAATAAGGAAAATGTGTAGACATGAATGAGACTGTGTTTCATGTTAAAGAGGTTTATTATCTGTACATTTAAAAATGACATTATGTACAAAAACATCGTCTCAATTAGCAATGGAAGCAATTGATCAGAGTATAAAGTGAGAGGAGAGCCAGATTAACTCCACTGGAATATCTTCACTTTACCATCCTTGTTTTAGCACCAGCACTTTTCACATTGCGCAAATATCTCAAATTGCTTCACAGGATTTTAAAATGTAGTGAGGGTGTATTCGCTGGCAAATAAAGGGATTTTATTGTGTAATAAGAATAATCCTTGCACTTGATATAGCACCTTATCAAGTCTTCAAGACTTCTCAAAGTGCTTCACAGAACATACTGTAAATTAACTGTATATTTTGTGGGCAAAACGCGGTAGCCAATTGCGCACAGCAGCGTCCCACAAACAGTTGTAGATTGAAGTGACCAATTTATTATTATTATTCTTGAAGGGAGTTATTACTCCTGGAAATGCGATCAGCCAATCGACGACAACCGGGTTCCTACTCACTGTTAGATAAACAGAGGAAAGCGGAGTTAGGAAACGTGTCCAACATTTTGCCCTTTCGGGAATCGAACCCAAGAGTCTCACTTGTGAGGTGATTGCTCTAACCACTGAACTACAGGACTCCACAAATTCTCTTTATTTGCCTATCAGTCCCCTGGCACTGGTGCTATTCTGATAATAAAATAAACAAAGTTCATTCTTAGAGAAACTGAAATCATAATAAGATTGGTTCTGGTATTCGCTGCCTATATCACAGGCCAACCAGGAGCATATTGAAAGATTATTTTAGCCTTTATTCCACGCTGGTCAATTCACCAGTGTTGAAGTATGCTTGGAGAAATGTCTTTAATCTGCGATCTTCCTGTTGGTTCCATCTATTTTTCTCAGTTTTCTGGAAGACAAAAACACTTTCGCAACATTGGCTTAAGGTTGGCTGTTCAACTTTGATGTTGTTCTGTGAAGTTTTGCCGTCCTGCACATCGTCCACAATGAAGATGATAGATTCTTTTCCTGCAAATAATAATAATAATCTTTGAATTTATTTCAACGCTTCTCATATCAGGTGGACATCTGAAATGCTTTCACAGGATGTACTACATAGTATAGGACTGCATATTTTATTGGTCATCCAGCAGCCAATTTTGTGAACAGCAATATCCCATAAACAGCTGTGAAGTGAGTGACTGGCTTTATTTGGGATCTCTTGGCCGAGGCAAAGAAAAGAGAAACACTCCCTTCGCTTTTTGAATATCAAATGGTCGTGGAATGTTCATGGGCCAAAGCATAGGATCCCCAAACAGATGCACCGCTCCACAGATCGCCATCCCCTCCACATGAACAGCACAGACGGGACCTTGTTTTCATGTCTGGTCTGAAGGATGGCACCTTTGGCAATCGAACATCCACCCCCAGCGCTGCACTGGGTCATCAGTTTGCACTATGATTCCAAGTTCAGACACAAGACTTGAACCCACAACCTTCTGACTTGGAGGCGAGAGCGCTACCACTGAGCCAGGCTAACAACATAAAGCAGAACCCTATGGTCAGATACTAACACAACTAACACTGGTAAACACTCCAAGACACTACCCCGATTGACAGGTTCTGAGTAAAGGCAAACTATTGCTGTTAATGGATATGGAGCAGTGAGGACACACACAGATGTGCATTGCACCTACCGGCTTTGTTTGATGTGCTCTTCAGGACATTGTCGTAGAGGGAATCATAGACATCCGTCAAATTCATCCGTCCCTGGAGAACTGAGTGGTGGAACACATACAGGGTTTTGTAGTCCCTGAAGCCCAGGAAGTTTCGAACTGTTTTCTTAAGAAGCAGATATGTCAGTCCACCACAGCCCACACACACCCAGAGGTACCCCAGACCCGTGAGTCGAAGCCACACGATCCCTAAGCAGATGTATCTCCCCACAATTTTCAAACATCGCCATCCTCTCCACATCCAGCGCTGCGGGAGAGGGGATCTCTCCCACTGAGCAGAATTCACTCCGGAGTGTTGGACTTCTGCCTCATCCAAACGCTTCTGTCGATCGAGAGCCCATGTGAGGCACAGGTCAGAGCACAGGTATGTAAGTCCACAACAGCCCACAGACAGCCAGTGGTACCCCAGGTCTCTGAGGCCAAAGCATAGGATCCCCAAACAGATGCACCGCTCCACAGATCGCCATCCCCTCCACATCGCGCATTTCCTCAAAAAGGACGGGTCCAGTTCAGCTGAGCTCAGTTCTGAGTGTTGCACCTCCACATGATCCATCAGCTTCAGTTCACTGAAAACACGTGTAAGGTCCTGTGGAGAGCACAGGGATCTGACAATTGCGAGACGCTGTGAGAGGGGCGACTGACTACTGTATCTTGTGTAGTCCATCCTCCTGCTCACACCTCCCTTCCCGTCTGTGTGCAGCTTCTGGTCTGCTGTGAAGTGTGGGGGAGTTTGGGTTATGTGGTAATCTCCCTGTGTGGGTGTGGTTACAATGTCATTTGGCAAATTCTAGGCTGTCACTGAGAGAGAAGGCAGGTTTATGCAAACCGGTTCCTTGGCAGGACTTCAGGGTTTGGCTGAGGAGCGCTGAGAGCTCTGGGTCATCCGAGCACTTGACTCAGTATATACCTTTTTTGTCAGCGAGGTGTCTGACACACAAAGACTCAACTGCAGCTTTAGATTCACCCATCGCCTGCCTTTCAAGTCGGAAGGATGTCCCAAAGCAGCGGAGGGTTGGCACAAGAGCTGGGGGTTAGATTCGGGTGGGGTGAGCCAAGGGGGTAATCATGGGGGGTGGGCGAAGATGATCGAAGACGTGGTTAAAGAGAAAAGCCTTCATTGAAGGAGGTAAGGGAATGGGCGGAGTCGCGACAAAGCTTTAGTGTGCCTATAAACATGCCTCTGTTTATCCGGTTGTTAGCGAATAGGCAGATCTCTCTTCCAAGGGTAATAATTCCTTCAAAAAATATAATAAACTGGTCACTCAATCCATGACTGTTGGTGGGACACTGCTGTGCGTAATTTGCTCTATCAAATGGAAGGATTATTAGTATTATAAGTAGATTCACTCCACTTTAGAGTTTATCCTGTGAATTCAATCGCAGGCTGTATCCTTTGCTTTCTACTGTTCTAGACAAGATAAAACCGTGTATCATGATACATTATCCAGTCTCTTTAGTCCCTTTAGAATCTTAACAAACACATTTATATCCCACACATCCTATCCATGACCTGCTCTGCCTTTCCGCACCTCCACAACATCACCTGGCTCTGCCTTGTCTCTCACCCCAGGCTGCCGAGACCCCCATACACGTATTCATCGCATCCAGATTGAATACGCAAACTATTGTCGGCCTCCCCAACTCCTCCCTCTGTAGGGTACAGATCATGCAGAACTCTGCAGCTCGTGTCTTCTCCCACACCAGGATATGCAACTTGACACCGCCATCCTAGCTCGGCTCCACTGGCTTTCCATCACACAGAGGATACAGTTCAAGATCCTTGACCTCACCTTCAAAGCCCTCCACAGCCTTGCTCCTCCCTACCTCTGTGACCTCCTAACCTCTGCAACCTGTTCACTCCCTCTGCTCAGTGGGTTCATGTCTGCTTCACATCCCCTGCCTTGTTGCCCCACCATTGGCGGGCAGGCCTTTAACCTTTCTGCTCCCACCATCTGGAACTCCATCCTACAATCCCTCTTTCAATATCCATCTCAAGAACCTCTTCTTCGACCGTGCCTTTGGTCACCCTCCTATGCCTACCCTCCCCAACCTCCATCCCTCCTGATCCCAACCACCAGCTTGAGTGTGGATCCTTGATGTTCAGCTCCTTGGAACATCCTCCTGATGTGAAAGGCACTGTGTAAATGTAATTTATTGGTGGTGTTTTTCTCTCCCAACCTTGTCTTTTCTAATGTGAACATGCCCAGTTTACACAATTGTGTAAATAGACGAGTCACTCCATCCCATCAATTATTATAACTACCCTCTTTTGTATCCTCTCAATCACTGCAATAGCCCTATATCGGAACTGATGAACGTTCATGAAACCAAAACATCGACTCACTTTCCTTTCTCCATAGATGCTGCCTGACCTGCAGTGTGTTCCCAGCGACTTCTGTTTAGGTTTTCAGATTTCCAGCATCGTAGTATTTTGCGTTTTGTTCATATCAAACACAAGATTCTTGTTCTCATTTTAGTTAGATTGCTGCTGTGTGCTACCCAATGTCTGACACAGAGTCCTCATCACTTCCTTACCCTTAGATTCAAGGATCCAGCTGTGGAATCGAGTCACCTCATTGATATAACTCATGATTTATAGCACAATACAAATTCACAACAGCAACAACAAATTTACACTTGTACAACACCTTTCTCCTCAGCAGTTCATCCCGAGGCACTGGACAACAACAACAACGACAACAAGATTGCATTTATAGAGCGCCTTTCACGTCGGGAGGATGTCCCAAGGCGCTGGACAGTTTGGTCGGACCCGAGCAGGGGGGAAATGGTCAGGGTGAGGGAAGGGAGGGAGTGAGGAGGGGGGAAATGGTCTGGGTGAGAGAGTGAAGGGAGGGAGCGAGGAGGAGGTAGAGAGTCGAGAGGGGAGCTGAAGGCACGGTTGAAGAAAAGGTCTTGAGACCGGCCTTGAAGGAGGAAAGGGAGGAGGCGGCGAAGGCACTGGGGGATAGAGTTCCAGAGCCTAGGGGCTGAGAGGCTGAAGGCCCGACCACCGATGGTAGGGCGGTTGGGGTGGGGGATGTGGAGCAGACCGGAGCCAGAGGAACGGAGGGTACGGGCAGGTAGGTAGGGGGATAGTAGGTCGGAGAGGTAGGAGGGAGCAAGGCCGTGAATGGCCTTGTAGGTGAGGATGAGGATCTTGAATTCGATCCTCTGGGGGATGGGGAGCCAGTGGAGGCGAGCGAGGGTGGGAGTGATGGGGTCCCGAAGCCTAGTGCGGGACAGTACACGAGCTGCAGTGTTCTGAATGACCTGCAGTGTGGAGGAAGGTGCCGGGAAGGCCGGTGAGGAGAGAGTTCCCATAGTCCAGCCTTGAGGGGATAAAGGCGTGGACCAGAGTTTCAGCAGCGTGAGGGTTGAGGTAGTGCCGTAGTCTGGCGACATTCCGGAGGTGATGGAAGGCGGTGCCAGTTGTGGCGCGGATATGAGGGAGAAAGGACAGCTCAGGGTCGAACAGAACCCCGAGGTTCCTGATGGCTTTGAGAGGTGGAGAGTGCAGCTTTGGATGCTGATGTTGTCAGCGCCTGAGGTGCGGAGGCGCTGACGTGAGCCAATCAGGAGGGCCTCGGTTTTTCGCACGTTGAGCTGAAGAAAGTTGTCTCTCGTCCAGGACTCGATGTCGGACAGACAGCTGTCAGGACATTGGGGGTCGTGGAGTTGAGGGTAGAGGAGGAAAGGTAGAGTTGGGTGTCATCCCCATACATGTGGAAGTTAACTCCATGTCTGCGGATGATGTCACCACAGGGGGGGCATATAGAGGGTGAAGAGGAGGGGACCGAGGACAGAGCCCTGAGGGACACCACACGAGACAGTGCGGGGGCCGGAGGAAAAACCATTCGTGGAAACAGAGTGAAGACGGTGGGAGAGGTACGACCTAAACCACTCAAGGACAGTGCCTTGAAGGTTTAGGTGGGAGGACAAGCGGTGGAGGAGGATAGAGTGGTCGACCGTATCGAATGCTGCCGATAGGTCGAGGAGGACGAGGAGGCAGAGGGAGCCCTGGTCACAGATGGTCAGGATGTCATTGGTAACCTTGACCAGGGCAGTTTCTGTGCTATGGGCTACCGCATTTCACCTACAAAACATAGATTCAATTCACTTTGAGACATCTCAAAGACGTAATAATCGGTATATCATATGCAAGGATTATTATTATCATTGTAACTTGTTGATTTTTCTACTTAAAAAATATAATTCATTTACACCAAAATTTTCCGAAACACCCAGTAGAAATTCTATTTCTCCATTTATCTTTGTAAATCTTTGGGATCTTTAATGTTCATCTGAACAGGCACAGACAAGGCCTCAGTTTAATGACTCTTCTTTACTTAATCTTCCTGCCCTTGCCTGGTTCGATTCCTATCTCTCTCACCATCTCCACTTTCTTGTCTAAAAGTTTCTCCTCCAGCCCCCGCACTGTCACTTCTGGCGTCCCCCAGGGCTCTGTCCTCGGTCCCCTCCTCTTTAATATCTACACACTCCCCCTTGGTGACATCATCCTTCAGACATGGGGTCAACTTCCATATGTATGCGGCTGACACCCAACTCTATCTCTTTGCCTCCACCCTCGACTTCAGGACCACTGCTGTCCTGACAGACTGCCTCTCAGACATCAAGTCCTGGATGAAGGCAAATTTCCTTCAGTTGAATGTGAACAAGACTGAGGCCCTCCTGATTGGCTCGCGCCAGTGCCTCAGCACCTCAGGCTCTGGCAACATCAACCTCAATGGTTATGGAGGTGAGGGAAGGTAGAGCGAGTCATGGCTTGGATGTGGGGAAGAAAAGACAGTTGAGGGTTGAACAAGACACCTGGGTTCCTGACTGGGTTGGTGAGTTGGAGGTTGATGGGAGAAGGGGGAGGAGGAATATGCTAGAGTGTGCAAAAGAGATTTTTAATCAATTGTATGAGGTGAAGAAGATTAAAGAGAAAGGAAATCTTAGAAACACTTCTAGGTAAGGTGGAGATAAGAACATCTGAGTAAGGTGGGAGGGCTGAAGAGGTAGAACAATCACAAGAAGGAGGGAAGGAAGGAGAAGCCTCCAGGGGTACACATGCTGCCGGAGGAGTTCTATGACCACCTTTTGGAAGGAGTTGAAGGACTAAATGAAAAATGTATGTGGAGTGTTACAAATGGAGAAATAAGCAAATGCGGGAGAAGAAATGGTGACGATGTTTATAAGAACAAAGAAAACATAACGAACTGACGATCCATAATATTGTTTCACATAGATCTTGGCAAAAGTTATGAGCAATAGCTTGAAGGTGATTGGAGAGGTGGTACACATGCTAAAGTCTGTAATAAATCAGGACTATCCCTTGTCATCCCTGCTATATGTGCTGTGTTTAGAGCCCTTGATGCAGGCTCTCAGGAAATAGCAGAAGATAACAGGGTGGGGTTTCTGACAGGGAAGCCAAAACAGATAAAGATTCTGACCTATATAGAAGATATGGCTCATAGTGTATAGGGACAACAGATCAGGAGGGGAGGTGATGGAGCTGGAAAGGGAGTATGAGGAGACATAAAGAAGAAGGGTGAATCAGGGGAAAAGTCAGATATTGGTTTTAGTAAGTGGGAGAAAAGTCCTTTATTGAGGAGAATGTTGTGGTGAGGACAGGGGATCAAAGTATTGGGAATTTGAATTGAAAAAGGTCAATGAGAATAATAAGAATAAGAATAATCCATCCATTTGATATAGCACTTTACACATCTTCCAGAAGTCTCAAAGCGATTCACAGAATATACTGTAAAGTGAATTTACTGTATATTTTGTGGGTGAAATGCGACAGCCAATTGTGCAAAGCAATGCCCACAAACAGTTGTAGATTGAAGTAACCAAATTATTATTGTGTTTTTTTCTTGAGGGATTATTATCGGGCATGTCGAGTAAGAAAACTTACCCAACATTTTGCTCTGCCGAGAATCAAACCCAGGTCTCTCACTTGTGAAGTGAGTGCTCTAGTCACTGAGCTACAGGATTCCTCGGGACATAGGGACAAATTGGAAAAAAATTAAGAGAAGTATGAGTGACTGGAAGGAGAGAATACACATAATGATCGGAAGAATTGTGCTGATTAAATCGGTGGTGATGCTGATGTTATATTTGTTGTTTATTGAAGGACTTTGAGTTCAGATAGAATGGTGAGGAAAATCTAGGATAGATTGATTTTTCATATTGTAATGTAGCTTGCACGCAAAATAAGCAATGTTTTTTTGAGGATGACAGTCATGTTGATATTTAAAATTAGATTTCATTTTAATACATTTAAAAATATCCATGAACATAACAAGTTTATTAGAAGTTTGTAAAGTTGCAAATTACATGATTAAAGTGGATAAAAAGCTGATTTGTTGAGAGTTGAGACAAAGTGTTGAAGAGGCAAAGTGTCATTGGAACACCAGTCCCTTGTGCTTTTCCTGATTATGATAATCGTTTTAGATCCTCGGTTCCGATAATATACCAGCTCATACATGGACTCAGGACTGGTCCTACTGCTTTGCTAGTCCTTTACAAATTGTGTTATCAAATTTACTTTAGGTATTCTAATAATATGGATGGCTAACTTTGAACGTTCTATCCACATCAAAGCCCTTCAGACCTGGAGGCACTAAGCTACGGTTTAGCTTGTTTATTGGTTAATTCGGCCCTGGAACACGGTTTAATATCTCATAAAAATATAGCATCTCTGACAATGCAGGGCTGTGCCTTGAACTCACTATCAACAACAACAAAGTAAATTTGTGTAGCTCCTTTCATTTCAGGAGGACGTTCCAAGGTGCTGGACAGACAGAGTTTTGAACCCGGGCTGGCGGTCAGGGTCAGGGAGGGATGAGGTAGGGGGGGGAAGCAGCGAGATCAAAAGCACAGTCGAAGAGGAAGGTCTTCAGATGGACCTTCAAGAAGGCAAGAGAGGGGATAAGTCAGGGGAACTTCGGGATGTATTTCCAGAGGGTGGGGGCAGAGTGGTATAAGACCTGCCCGCCAATAGTGGAGCGAGCGAGACAGAGGACAAGCACCAGGCTGCAGCCCGCTGAACAGGGGGAGTTAGCAGGTTGGTACGATGTTAGGAGGTTACAGAGGTAGGTGGGAGCAAGACCATGGAGGACTTTGAAGGTAAAGACCAGGATATTGAACTGTTTCCTCTGTGTGATGGGAAGCCAGTGGAGTTGGGTGAGAATGGGGTTGATAGGGTCACGGAGTCTGGTGCGGGAGAGAACACAAACTGCAGAGTTCTGGATACCTGCAGCCTATGGACAGAGGAGTTGGGGAGACCAACAAGCAACGAGTTGCATAGTTGAGCCTCGACGTAATGAAAGTGTGTATGGGGGTTTCTGCGGCCTGCGGTGTGAGACAGTGGCGGAGCCGGGCGATGTTGCGGAGATGGGAGAAGGCAGAGCGGGTCGTGGCACAGACATGTTGCTTGAATTTACAACCTTCTGACTCAGAGACAAAGGAGCTACCCAAAGAGCTAGGCTGGCACATAACTTCTGGATATCTGTACTTGACTGATTTGGCAAAGTAGCCCCACCTTCCTGTTTTATTTATTTATTGCAATGATTGAACCGAAAGAGCAATTGAAATTTGACGAATCAAACGCATTAAAGGTTATACTCCAATCACGTGCTGTTGTGCAAATGATATTTAAAGTGAGGGCAAAAGAGAAACTCAGCAATAGCCTGGAAGTTAACTGCTGCACGCAGAGTGAGAGTAACAGACACATCGGAAGCTACTGCAGTTTGTTTACCAAGGTAGGAAACATTGAATTTGGAATCTCTTGTATTGTATATAGTCCTTGTATTATATGGACCTTGAATCCACAACGTTTTGATGCAAAGTACTGCTGATTACTCACATTTATCCAGTGCATTTCTGGTGAAATTAAGGGAGATAAAGTTCCTTTCAGGATACAATTGTATAGAAATGAAAGTGAAGGTTCAAATAATAATAATAATTATCCTTGCATTTCATATAGCACCTTATCACATCATCGAGACATTTCAGAGCTTTACAGGATTAGTTGTGTATTTTGTGAATAGAATTCGGCAGCCAATTGCTCACAGGAATGTCCCACAAATAGCCGTTGAGTGCAGTGATTTTTTTTATTTTGGAGGATTTGTTGGCCAGCCAGGTTCTTATAACAATAGTTCTTGTAATTGATGTTGCACCTTATCACATCATTGCAACATCCCAAAGTGCTTCACAGGAGTTGTAACATGGTTGATTGTGTATTTTGTGGGTGAAATCTGGCCGCCAGTTGTGGACAACAATGTCCCACAAGCAGCTGTGGAGTGACTGACCGATTTTTATTTTGGGGGAATTGTTAGTCTGTCAATGGTGTACCAGCCCGGCTCAGTTTGTAGTTTATGAGTTTAAGCCTCACATCAGAACCTGGAATTTAAATAGTCTAAGATAATACTCCACTGTAGTGCTGGGGAGCACTACGAAGATGGAGGTGCCATCCTTTGGATGATACATTAAACTATGGTTCTGTCTGCTTGTTCAAGACGATTTAAAAAGATTAAAGATTCAGAAAGAGAAGGGATTTTCTTTCACCAGGCGTCCAGGTTGACAATCCCCCAATAAAATTGGTTACTCTCTTGTTGGCTGTTTGTGAGCTGTTGCTACTGCATTGCCCAAAAAACAGTTTCTACACTTTACAGTATATACCATGAAGCACTGTAGGATAATCTCCTGGTGTGAAATGGCCGGATTGTTATTATTATCAATTAATCTGTTTTATAGCATGATTCTAATTCAGTAATCATGATGCAGTCTGGGAGATTAATGCTAACTTGTTTGTTTAAAATAAGTATTTTGGTCAGCCAGGAATCTGCCTCATTTGGAAACCATCCTAAGAGCATCAAAACAATGTTCCACATATCCCGTACATTTGAAAAATTTGTTGTGTTTGGAATGGAGTGCATTGTCTCTCTCTCTCTTTCCCTCAAGGATACACCATGCTTACTGAATTCTCGAAGGGATTGTGCACTGATTGGCAAAAGCCAAGGTTTGCTGTCCACCAAAAATATTTTATAGTACTGCTTGCATTGAACCAGCTAACATTGAATCTCGCTATTGAAAGTACTGATCAGGCTCTTGAATATGTGCCTGATGCTGCTTCTTCTTTGGTAAAATTACGGACTGAAATGTACTGGGGTGATATTGAGATAAACTGAGATATAATAATAACAATAACCCTTGCATTTGATATAGCGCCTTATCACGTCTTCAAGATGTATTAAAGCATTCACAGAATATATTGTAAGGTGAATTGACTATATTTTGAGGGAGAAATGCCTGTTGGATGATATAGAAATACATACAGAGTTAGATGAATTGGGGTGATGAAGAGATAGGGATAGACTGAGGTGCGTAGTGACTAACCATTCTGGCTCAGGAACCTGATTAGTGAGATTGTTACAGAAGTTTGGCTTGATTCTGACATTCCAATGCCAAACATGTCACCTTGGAATCAGTTCATCTCAATGAAAACCTGCTTACCTTTTCCTCCCTCCGCATGCAGGGAGGATAGTTACCAGTTGATCATTTGACATACAACAAGAATGTATATCTGTAATTTGAGCTCTCACTTGATTGATGGCAGCTACTAGGAACTACCTGCGAACTTCTCAATGGGCAGCACAGCTCAGCAAGAAATGTGTGAGAGTATTGCCACCATCTTCCTGTCCACAGTTAGGGCACACATCATTGCCCATTGAGAAATGATTACACATTTGACAGTATTTATCAATAAACTAGTGAGAAAAGTTATTTTTCTATGTTTGCAGGTCTGAGCGACGGCCCATTGTGACGATGGCCAGTGGAGAGAGTAGGACTACTAGTAAAGCTCAGTACACCAAATGCCTTTTTTACTGCCTTATCTACCTGCCCTGCTACCTGTAATGATTCGCTAACTACAACACCCAGATCTCTCTGTACGTTCACCCCCCTTAAGATTGAGCTACCAAGTCTATATTGCCTCCTATCATTTTTCCTACCTAAGTGTATCACCTCACACTTACCCACATTGAAATCCATCTGCCACATGTCAGCCCATTCCACCATGTTCTACTAAGTGGTCAGATTGTTATTATTAACAATTGATCTGTTGCATTATACAGTTCCAGTTCAGTAATCATGACCCATTCTGGGTGATTAATGCCAAATTGTTTGTTTAAAATAAGAGACAGATTGTTTTTTTGGTCAATCAGGTATCTGACAAACATGGAAACCATGCTTAAGAGTCACCAAAACAGAGTTCCACATATCACCTACATATGGAAAATTCCTTGTTTATGGAATGGAGTGAACTCTCTCTATCTTTCCCACAATCAGTCCTACTTTCCATATCCTTGCAAATTTATTCCGTTTCCAGTACCTATCCAATTCTCCTTTGAAAGTTGTTGTAGAATTTATTTCCATCATCCTTTCAGAAAGTGTATTCCAGACCGTAACAACACTCCTGTTCTGACCGTAACAAAGTGAGATGTATTGGGGTGATATAAAGATAGGGACAGACTGAGATGCATAGTGACTGTGAGCCATCTGGCTAAGGAACCTGATTAGTGAGACCATCACAGATGTCGGGCTTGATTCTGACATTCCCTTGTCAAACATGTTCCTCTCAATTAAGATTCAATTACCCTTTCCTCCCTCCCTCACCAAGGAGGACAGTTACCAGTTGATCATTTGACATACAGCAAGATGTATGAGTCCTCACTAGATGGATGATAGTTACTAGGATCTATCTGCAAACTCCTCAATGGGCAGCACAGCTTAGCATCATATGTGTGAGAACATTGCCACCATCTTCCTGCCCACAGTTAGGCCATGCACCTTTGTGCGTTGTGCAACTATTCCACATGTGACAGTAATTATCAATAAACTAGTGAGATATTTCAATGAAATGATCTGTAAAATGTAAGTTATTTTTCTATGTCTGCAGGTCTGAGTTACAGCCCATTGTGACGATGGCCAGTGGAGGGAGTAGGACTATGGAGCTGGCATGTTTGGGCCGTCCATTCCAGTTGGGGATGTTGTATGACTGTCGCTCAGACTCTTTGATCCCAGGTAATGTCATCCCTTCCCAATTTGTGCTCTGCCTAATACAGTGCTCTTGATTTAGACACTTCCAAATACTTACCTGGAAGTGGAAACAGATTGTGTCAGGAGACTAGTGTGAACACATTGTAATAATCCTTCCATTTGATATAGCGCCTTATCACGTCTTGAGACATCTCAAAGTGCTTCACAGAATATACTGTAAAGTGAATTAACTATATATATTGTGAGTGAAACATAGGATCCCCCGCTCTGCATTACCAACCATCAGTCACTACACCCCTAGCATCTGGAGCTCCTTCTCTCTACCAATCCTTATCGAGCCCTCTGTTTCTGTTCTAAAGTGTCGCCTCAAATATTTGAACTATGCCCACCTTCCTCCTGCTGCCCCCTCCCTTACTCAATGTCTAACCGCTCCTTGTGAAGAACCCAGAGACGTTAACCAAAATAACAATATAAATGCAAGTGGTTGTCCCAAAGTGGTAGATGACCAAAACCAAACAAATATCTAACTGTAATCTAACTGACAATTTATACAGCTTAGTTTTCCTTGGTCAGCTTAAAACCAATCGTCATGCTTTAGAGTTTTCAAATCAGACTGGGATTCCACATTTGTATACCTCATACACATGGAAATTTCCTGTGTCCGAATGGAATGCGATATCTCTGCGTGTGGAAGAATGCATCATAATTACCTTCACTGTGAAATCCTATATTGTAACTAGACTTAGTTTAAACCCATTTTCCTGTAAACACTATATTTAAGTTTACATAGACGGCATCTGGTGTGAAGGGCGCTATATAAATCCAAGTCGTTGTTGTATATATTTACCAGACCCTGTGATAATATTAGTAGTGATCTTATTCTGCAGGGGTCACACTGTGGGACTTGGACACATTGAATAATAACCTGTATGAGCATTCTAAGCACAACACAGAGTTTCACATCATTGCGTCAGACTGCATTGAGGACAAAGCCAAGGCCTTGAAGGTGATGGGGACATTGAAGGCAAGCTTGCTGAGTGGATTGGTTCAGGTGGATGGTTCTGCAAAGTTCCTTACCGACACAAAGAAATCTAAGGAACAGGCTCGAGTGACCCTCCAGTATTCCACAACAACAAAGTATAAGCAGTTGACAATGAACCACTTGGGGCGAGGGAATGTGTCATACCCCTACGTGTTTGATCAGGGCACAGCAACCCATGTGGTCACAGCAGTGCTGTACGGAGCTCAGGCATTCTTTGTGTTTGATAGACAAGTCACTTCCTCAGAGAGCCTAACAGATATTCAGGGCATTATGAATGGAGTCATTGAGGCCATCAAGAATGTTGGAATCGCGGGTGAAGGTTCCCTGAAGTTGACAGAAAATTCAAATACCCAGAAATTGACCTGCACATTTTATGGCGATTTTGCTCTTCCGAAGAATCCCACTACATTCCAAGATGCAATGAATGTTTACTCAACTCTGCCAAAACTGTTGGGGGAGGATGGAAAGCATGCGGTGCCTGTCAAAGTCTGGCTATACCCACTCAACCAGGTGGACTCAAAGGCAGCTAAGCTTGTATGTGATATCAGTATAAATCTGCTCAATCGCTCACAGGCCATACTGGAGCAAATCAATGAGGTTGAGATGAAGTGCAATGATATGATGAAAGATCATGTCAGTGTTCAATTTCCAGAGATCAAACAAAAGATCCTGAGGTTCAAATCAATGTGCGAGGAGTACAAACTGGATTTCCAGAAGGCCTTGGCCAGAGTGGTACCATCTATTCGGGGAGGTGGGGAGGAGGAAGGGAAACTGGTTGATATTCTGAAGACCATGGAACAATCACCATTCAGAAGCCAATCACTCACTCAATGGCTGGACGACAAGAACAAGGAAATGTCTGTGGTCAATGGTTATCTCAGAAAAATGAGTAACATAAAAATGGTGAAATCATGCAATGAGTTGAATTCGGAGACACAGGATCAGGACACAGAGTATGTGGTCTGCTTCATATTCACATCGCTGCACCAGGAAGATTTAAATCTGTTAGAAATGGCCAACCACCTTCAATGTGAAAACAATGGGCAAACCCAGCTTCAAACATCAGATCAGAAGCAATGGTTTAATTCAGGGACCGTGTCCCGTGAGATGAGGGAGCGAGCACAATTATTTCTACGATTTTATACAGCCAACAAATTGGACAAAAACATGAAGTTCATCGTTGCATCTGAGCCAGACGAGGAGCATGTTGGAGCTTCCATTTACCTGTATGAAGAAGGAGTTTTGGTGAGCCGTTGCTTCAAGCCTCCAGTTCCCTCAGTTTGTGGAACGACACATGAAAGTGTAACTCTGCGGTTACAGGCACCAGACCCTGGCAATGGCGAGTCTGTCAAGTACTGGGTGCAATATCGCAGCACCCAGGAGGAGAAATGGACAACTCCGAATACTAAGGTGGAATCGGACTTCTGCACCGTAACTGGTTTAACTCCATACCAGGAGTATCATTTCCAATACAGATCAGCATGCCACCCACCCAGTGATAGTGTGAGTGTGATGACACGTCCCATCAGTGTCCCTGAGAATGTTTCAATGTGCCAGGTAGAGGGATTTGATGTTCGAGTCTCCTGGGACAGTCCTGCTCAGATTCAACATGAGGTCACTGTAGATCACTACAAGTTGGAGTATAGAGAAACCATGAACGACTTCTCCAGCCCTGAACCAGACACATGGACAAAGCTCAGAACAAAAGGCAGTGAAACTCTTTACATGTTGGAGCGGCTGAAACCCAACACATCCTACTCACTGAGAGTATCTGCTGTGTGTGGACAGGTAGAGAGTGCACCCAGTCACCTGGCCTCAATAATAACAGACAAGAAACCAAAGCCACAGGCTCGAAAGCCACTTGAAGGAAGCACATTAATTACCGGAAGCCAAACTATTTACAAACTCCCATTACAGATACAGAAACAGAAGAATGGAGAGATTATAAAATACAGCTTTGGAAACCATTCACCCACATACATTGTGAAGACCATCTTGCTTCTTGGAGAAAGAGGATCTGGGAAAACCAGCCTCATCGATGCCATGATCAACAATATCATTGGTGTGGAATGGGAGGACACATTCCGTTACAAACTGACCGAGGAAGAAACAAACAGCTCCCAGGCTGAATCACCTTTAATCATTGTCTATGAACTCAATCACCAAGAGGGATTCAGGATTCCTTTCTCTCTGATTATTGTAGACATCCCGAGATTTGGGGACACAGCACAAAATAAACACATCCCTGAATACATCAGTTATTATAAGCTCTCTCATCGGATCACAGATCTCCTTTCTTCCCCAGAGGGTGTAAAACAGATTGATGCCTTGTGCCTTGTTGTCCAAGCCTCCATAGTGCAATTAACATCTGAACAGGAATGTCAATTTAATTCATTTTTTTCCATTTTTGGCAAAGATATTACTGAGAATGTCCGTGTGCTGGTGAACTTTGCAGATGAACAGCTTTCTCCTGTTCTCGAGGCTATCACCCAATCCGGGTTACCGTGTCCCAAAGATGACAATGGACAGCCAGTTCATTTCAGATTCAACACCTCAGCCATATTCACCCAGACTGTAACCTCTGGAGAATCCACTAATAGAAGCACAGATGATGGGGGGGATGAAATCTTACACAAAATGTTCTGGAAAATGGGATCAAACAGCATGAAAAGGTTATTTGCGGCTCTGACCGAGATGACAACAAAGAGTATGAAGGAGATTCTTCAGAGAGGTATGTAGGAGGAGAGATGGGTATAGATGTTGTGGTGAAGATGGTCATTGACAGGCTAGGATGATCTGAGAAGGGGTTGTCATTCCAGGGGTGAGGGTAATCAATGATGTGCTCAGATGGTCAATGTGGATGGTGGTCAATCATTGTGGTGAGGATTGTCCATAATGAGATGAGGGTAATGAAAATGAAGACGGTCAGTGACTTCATCAGTGTGGCTTATTTGGTCTCCCTCTCATCTCTGTTTCAAGGAATTGTGGGTTCAATCCCAACGTCTGGATTTTGAGCTCACAAAGTCCAGGCTGACGCACGAATAAAGTACTGGAGGTGTATAGCATTGTTGGAAGTGCTGTTCTTCGGATGAGATGTTAAACCAAGCTCATGTCTGCCAGTTTAGGTGAACGTTAAAGAAATGTTAAGGAGAAGAGAGTTCCTCACAGTGTTCTGCCCAACAAAACCCCAAATGAAAATTGTTAATTTCCTGGCTGTTTGGGAGACTTTACTGAGCACAAAAGCTGCCTACAAATACACAGTCCCTTGCATTAAATCCTGTGAAGTGTCTTGAAATATCCTCAAAATGTGAAAGTATCAGGTTGTTTGAGAATGTTAATTAAAATCACTTGGATCTCAGTCAGGCCCCATGGCATAACCAGACAACCAGTTACGTGGAGTCCTGTAGCTCATTGGTTAGAATGCTCACCTCACCGGGGAGAGACCTTGGTGCAGGGCAAAAAGTTGGGCAAGTTTCCTTACTCCACATGCCTCTTTTTACCTTGCAGTAAGTAGTTACCCTGTTGTTAGTCAATTAGTGGATTGCTTTTCCGAGGGTAATAATTCCTTCCAAAGCAAATTATAGGATATTCAATCTACGACAGTTTGTGGGACACTGCTGAGCACTATTGGCTGCCACGTTTTGCCCACAACATAGACAGTCAATTCACTTTACAGTGTATTCTGTGAAGCGCTATGAGACATCTAGAAAACATGATAAGCTGCTATATTAAAATGCTAGGATTATTATTATTATTTACTCGTGACCTTCATGTAATCTGAGACAGACAGAGCAGAAATCCAAACCTCACTGAATGAACTAGTGAAATGTGAATTTTAACTGTCCAAACACCAATGTCAGCATTCTCTGTTTCATCTGCAGCTTCTCTGACTCTGGATCCGAATACAGCCCATCCAAAGCTTATCCTGTCTGAGGACCGGACACGAGTGCGATACGGTGATAAAAAGCAGCAAGTTCCTGACACTCCGGAGAGGTTCAGTCAATTGTACAGTATCCTGGGTTCTGTGGGTTTCACATCAGGAAAACATTACTGGGAGGTGGGGGTGGGGAACAACACATACTGGATTGTGGGGGTGGCCCGAGAGTCTGTGCCCAGGAAGAGTTTATTCACACCAGGACCTAAGACTGGAGTGTGGGGTGTGGAGCTGTACAAAGGGAAGTATGAAGCTCTAACCACACCTTATACCCCACTCTCCCTGAAAACAAGACCCCAGACACTTGGTGTGTACCTGGACTATCCAGGGGGTCAGTTATCGCTGTATGATGCTGACCACATGATTCATCTCCACACATTCACCTACAAGTTCACTGAGAGGCTCTATCCTTACTTCTGCACCGACTGTAAAACTGAGTCACTGTCACTGATTCACTGAAAGGGTAAGGAGTGTTGCCATGTGATGAAATCAAGTCAAATGACTTTGTTCAACGGGAACCCTCTGATATCCAGGAGTTTCATGCAGGAAAGTTCTGTACAAATCAAGAGGGATGGGGTATGGAATGAAACACTGATGTGGATGGGGGTAGTTCATAATTTGGGGTGTGAACAGTCAATGATTTAAGGGTAAGGATAGTCAATAATTTTAATGTGAGCAATCAATGTTTTGTGGTGTGGATAGTCGACGATTTGGAGTGTGGATAGTCGATGACTTGGGATGTGGATAGTTGATGATTTGGGTTGAGGTTAATCAATATTTTGGGTTGAGGGTGGTTAATAATTTTATGGCTCCATCATACTCCACCTTAATAATATTTTTATCACAAAAAAGCTTCACATTTTGTATTTAATGATGTATAGAATAATGCCAACAAATTGCATTCATAAAGCACCCATCACCTATTTGAGAACCTTGGAAAGTCCTCCTGAAAGGCGCTCTATAAATGTTATTTTATATTGTTGTTGTATTACGTTGGGTGTGTGTCCCAAGGAGCTGGACTATGAGAATTTTGGAACTAGGGTGTAATTTGGGACAAGAGAGGGGTGGATGCCATGAGTGTGTAGGAGGGAAGATTATTGAAGGCACAGTTGAAAAATAAGGTTTAAGATGGGACTTGAATGAGGCAAGGGAGTAGATAGGAAGGGGGGCTCCAGCATGAAGTTCCAGAGGGTGGGAACAGAAAGACTGAAGGCATGACTGCAGAAAAGGGAGCAGGCAGGGTGGGGGATATAATGCAGACTAGTACCTGCAGACCGGAGGGTGAGAACAAGTTGGTGAAATTTAAATAGGTCACAAAGGTGTACAAGATTGTGGAGGAATTTAAAGGTCTTGAACTTGATTCTCTGGGGGATGGTGAGCAAGTGATCCAGGGCAAAGAGGAGCTGATCAGCTCACAGAGCTTAGTGCGGAAGAGGATACGAGCTTCAGAGTTCTGAATAATCTGAGCTCAAGGAGGGAAGCGTTGGGAAGTCCAAGGAGCAATGAGTAAACATAGTCAAGCCTGGACATAATGCAAGCATGGATGAGTGTTTTAGCAGACTGATGGGAGAGATAATTGCAGAGACTGACAATATTGTGGAGCTGGAGAAAGGCAGGTGATGCAGATGTGGGGTTTAAAAGGCAGTTGAGAGTCAAACAAAACACCAAGGTTCTACCGTCTCGGTGAGGTGCAGAGTGCATCCATGAACAGTGATGCTGTCAGCACTTGAGGTGAGGAAGCACTATATGAGCCAAGCAGGAGGGCCTCGGTCTTGTCGACATTGAACTGTAGTTGGATTTGATGTCCGACAGACTGGACTGTCCTGGACAGGGACAAAATAAAATTGCTACTGAGCATCAACAAATCACTTCATGCCATGGCTTCTCCTTTCGTCTCCAACCTAAATATGCTCCACTGAACTACCCACCCCTTCACTCAGCTGGCTCTGTCCTCCTGCATGTCCACTGGTCCCTCCCTGCCTCAATCCATCCACTTGATCCTTCTTCCCCATCTTCAGGTCGCACCTGAAGAGTTTTCTCTTAGATTGTGCCTGCCTATGGTCACGTCCCCTTTCCCCACACTTTCCCAGGATGATGAGGCGATCAGAGCAGAGGCAAAGAGATGTAAGAAGTGTCGAAATATCGGAGATGAAGGTGGGAGAGGTTTTAGGGGGCCGGTAGAGGAGGAGGATTTTGAGCGAGAGGAAGCAGGGGTGGGAGAGGGTGAGGAGCTTGAAAAAGGGAAAAGAGTCAGAGGAGTAGGGGGATAGGGCAAGTGGTGTCCTTGAGATAAGGGCTACACCACCGCCACGGCGGTTGGGGCGAGGGATATGGTGGGAGGTGTAGCCGGGTGGTGAGGGTGAAGGTGTCGCCTGGGGTGAGCCAGGTTTCCGTTAAGGCCATAATGTCAACGCTCTCATCAAGGATGAGATCGTTGATGACCAGGGCCTTGTTACAGAGGGAGCGGATGTTTTGTAGTCCGATGTGGATGGAGCGGTTGACAGAAGGGTGTGTGGGAGGGGAGGGGGGTCCAGGTTGTGAAGTAGGGGTGGGGGAAATGGGGATAAGGGAGGAGAGGTTGGCTCTCTGGGTCTGTGTCCGGGGTGGCTGGCTAGTGTGGTGGAGAATGGGACAGTCGGTGTGGCTGCTGCTGGACAGCCAACGCCGAGTGCCACGGTGAGCCTGGCGGAGGATTCCCAGACTGGAACAGAGGGAGGTTGTGAGAGGGTCAAGTGGGGATAGAAGGCGAGAGGGATGGAGAGAGAGGAGGACAGAGCGGGAGGGAGGGGGTGAGGGGGATCGGTTCAAAGCGGCAGCCATAGTGCGTACGCGGGGACCGGGAGCGAGCGGTCAGGTGGATGGCATTATTCCATAGGCTGGGGCAGCCAACCCAACAGGACCATGGTGGGCCCTGATGTGAGCCCTGGGGGGGGGGGGGCGCTGGTTTTTTTTTCTTGAAATATGTCAAGAGGATGTATTTATCACAGCTGAAGTTTGTCAAAGATGTTTTCTATAACAAATCAAGTTTCATAACAATTCTTCAGGTTATAGCTGAGTAAGGTGTTCTTCTATTACACTAACATTTGAAATTCAGCCGGTTTGAGATAATTGCTTCAAGGATATGGTAATGGAAAGATTTTGCATTCTTATCCCGACTGTGGGGAAAAAAAACTATCATAAAAGATGTATGGTTAAACTATAGTTTGTTCAGCCTGGGACACAGCATATCAGGTGCCATCCACACAAAAAGCCATCTTTCATGTGACGATATCAAGTGGTGAAACCAATGGGTTGTGTTTGGATTAAAGACATGGACTGTTCCATCATTTCATCGACTTTCGTTAACTCCAGCAATTTTGAGAAGAAGGAAGACCTCAGAAATTCCAGAACTTCTGAAATCATTTTAAACTTAACGGGAGAAGAACAATGTATAACAACTGTCGAAAATATTTACAACATATAACAACTGTTGAAAATATTAACAACGTATAACAAATGTCGAATAAAGTACAGGGATCGGCTGTCCATTATCAACTTTGACTTTGTGATCAAAATACACAAGCCAGAGATTTCGGGTCTGAACCAAAGAGACTTTCCAGTGATGCAAGAATGTTGCCGCTGTTTGGGACTCCTATCAACTGATTCCATCAGAGAAGCAAGATTTGTATGATTTATGAACTAAGTAATTATTGCTTAATTTACGTTCATATAGATATTTGTTTATGCTATTGACTTGTTTGCTGTATTGTGATATTTTGAATTAACAAACATTACATTTCATATTAAATAAAGAAATTTGCAAGCATAAGTTGCTGAGTGTCTTTGGTTCCTCTGCTCATGGGTCTTTATTTAAAAGAAGGCTACCAAGAATAAGCTGGTCTTATTTTCATTTCTTAGAACCTAATAGTAATTAAGCAGGGATATCATGACATGGCGAATTAACAATTTAGCTTGATCACAAGATCATTGTGTCAGCTCCTGGTATCTGTCTGATCATCGGCATGGCTAGACTTTCTTGTGTTGTACAAACAGAAACAGCTGCAGTGTGGGCAATTACTGTAGATTTTATTCACATAATTTCTATCACAACACATGTGCCAATGGTCATTCTTTATGCCTATATTAATTGTATACCAATAAAGAGATTAACTTGTCGACATGTCTCTCTGTATTAGGTATCGTCAACAATACTTCCTCATTCTGCTCTCCCACACAATAAATCATCAAATACAATTTAAGTAATGCTTTACACTATTTAGCCCACGTTTCCTCTGTGCTCTGGAGTGAGGCAATGGCGGAGTCTGGCAATATTACGGAGGTGGTGGTAGGCATTGCCAGTTATGACATGGATGTGGGGAAGAAAGGAGAGTTCAGGGTTTCACAAGATACCCAGGTTCCTGACTGGCTTAGTGAGGTTGAGTTGAACTGGATCCTCTGAAGGATAGGGAGCCAGTGGAGTCGAGCGAGAGTGGGGGAGATGGGGTCACGGAGTTTGGTACGGGAGAGGACATGGGCTGCAGAAGTCTGGATTATCTGCAGCCTGTGGAGGGAGGAGTTGGGAAGGCTGACAAGCCAGGTATTTGCAGAAGCCTGGAGGTGATGAAAGCATGATCAAGAGTTTCAGCGACCTGAGGGGTGATGTTGTGGCGGAGTCGGGTGATGTGTGGGAAAGAAAAGACAGCTGAGGATGGTACAAGACACCCAGGTTCCTGACTGGCTGGTGAGTTGAAGTGTGCAACCATGGAGGTTGATAGTGCCAGAGCCTGAGGTGCAGAGGCGCTGGCGTGAGCCAATCAGGAGGGCCTCAGTCTTGTTCACATTCAACTGTAGGAAATTTGCCCTCATCCAGGACTTGATATCCGACAGGCAGTCTGTGGTCTTGGAGTTGAGGGTGGAGGCAGAAAGATAGAGTTGGGTGTCATCCGTATACATATGGAAGTTGACCCCATGTCTGCGGATGATGTCACCAAGGGGGATCATGTAGATATTAAAGAAGAGACAAGGACAAGCCCCGGGGAACACCAGATATGACAGTGCGGGGGCTGGAGGAGAAACCGTTAGAGGCAACAAAGTGGAGATGGTGAGAGAGATAGAAATCGAACCAGGCAACGGCAGATTCAGTAAAGCAGAGAGGCAGTGTATGAGGATAGAGAAGTGAACAGTGTCGAAGGCAGCAGAGAGGTCGAGGAGGACAAGGAGGCAGAGGGAGCCCTGATCACAGATGTTCAGAATGTCATTAGTGACTTTGACCAGGACTGTTTCCTTGCTATGGGAAGTGCAGAAGCCGGACTGGAAGGGTTCAAAGAAGGAATGGCGAAAGAAAGTAGCAGAGCTGGAACGTGACAACTTGTTCCAGGACCTTGAAGAGGAATGGGAGGTTAGAGGTGGGGTGTAGAGAGGAGGGATAGGTCCAGGGAAGGTTTTTCAGGATCATAGGATCATAGAATCACAGAATTGTACAGCACAAAAAGAGGCCATTCGGCCCATCAAGTCTGTGCCGGCTCTTTGAGAAGAGCAATGTAATGTCAATCCCACTCCCAGCCCTTTCCCCATAACTCTGCAAATCCGTCTTCCTCAAATATACTTCCACCGTGTTTTGAAAAGTAGTTATCGAATCGGCCTCCACCGCCCTTTCGGGTAATGCATTACAAATTCAAACAACTCGCTGCAGGAAAATATTTCTTCTCACCTCTTTTTAGAAAGTAGTTTGAATCTGTGACCTCGAGTCACTGATACACTCACCAGTGGAAACAGTTTTTCCCTTTCTAACCTATCAAATCCCCTCATGATTTTGAAGACCTCTATTAGGTCCTCGTAACCTTCTCTGCTCCAATGAGAATAATCCTAACCTACCAGCCTTTCCTCATGATCAAGGTCCCTCATTCTTGGTACCATCCTCGTAAATCTCG